GAGTAGAGAGGAGAGGGGGGGGGAAAGTGGGCTTCAAACTAGGTAGGTAAGAGGGGAGGGAAAAGGAAGAGGAGTAACTAAACGAAGCAATAGAGGAGTCTAACACTTCTTCTTTCTAATACATCTCCGTAGTAAGAAAAGGTAAGAAATGGCAGAAATAATAATGGCAGAAAGAGGTAAAAAGAGGAACCCCCCCTGACGCGGTGACAGCTTTAGCAAAAGACCAAGCAAGACGAGCGAGGCCTTGGGTCCGGCCCGTGGAGACCTTCAAGGTAAGGTGAAGAAGCGGTCGACGACGGGGCGAATTTTGGGACAAGATGAGATGGTGCAGATCCCAGACCGATAATAGTGCGAATTATTATATTTTGCAATTTAGGTGATGATTTTTTCTTATTTTTATTTTTCCTCATTGAGGGGTTGACAGTGCTGACAGGGATATTGTCGTTCTTAATTCTTGAATGCGATATTCTTTCTTTCTTTCTTTCTTGCTTTCTTGCTTTCTTGCTTTGCAGATATGGTGTTACGATTTTGGATATATGAATGTGAATATGAATGAAATACGTAGGAATTCATTCCCCTCGGGGATGGATCACCACACCTGGAAGATGGAGCGACGGTGATGCTGAGGGTTAATGCGGGAAGACTCAACAAGAGGTTGGGGGGTTGGGCGGTGATGGACTGATGGCGCTCTAAGAGTGGATGAAGAGAGGGGGGGGAGTGGAAAAGGAAGAGGAAAAAGAGGGAAAAGAGGGAAAAGAGGGAAAAGAGGAGCAGTGAGGGAGGAAAGGCAGACAGAAAAGAAGGCGACAATTGATGTGTTGACTTGACCGGACGCGACTGGTCAAGTGCAGACAGGCAGATACACTGTGTACAATGTACACATACACATACACATACCTGCAGTCGTAGAAGATACATACACCAGTTGGATGGACTGAGAGTCTGAGACTCACTGAGAGATTGATTGACTGACTGACACTTGAGTAATTCATCAAACTCGCCATCGTCATTCGCTCCATTAACGTGCTAGACGGCTAGTATGGCCGCTAAGCTGTCTGCGTCGAACTCGTCGTACGTATGCTGAGGGTTTGGGATTATTACTAGCTACTACTAAGAATAAGATGGAGCGCGCTCGCGAGAGACAAAAATACCCTCCCAAGTCCTCGTACTCATGTAAAACCTCCCGACACAACAATCCCAAAAGAAAAGAGAGAGAAAAAAAAATAAATAAATAAAGCCGAATGCAGTGGAAAGGAATAGAGTAACGAACGGCTGTGTTCCTCTTCTTTCACATCCTCTCCACCTTACCCTAACCATTTCCGAAGACTGGCGAGGAATGGTCGAGCGACGGAAGAGGTCCACCACTCCAACCAGGGAAATTGGAAAGGAGTTCATAGGTTCTCCTCTAGGTTCCTCATCGTCAGGGCCCTGAACGGGCGGCAATCTCAGCATGTGGAAAAGTACCGAAAATGTCAAGATCACAACATTGTTGATGATATAAGACTTTCCTGCCCGTGATTATGCTGCAGCACATTGATCAGAATGGGATTTTGGATATGACGACACCCCCTCATCTGATCAGTAGCGACTCGATTCATATCAGAAACGAAAGGTGGATTCATGCTGCAATTCATTACATCATGGTCGAGCAGAAGGGAAACCTTCCTGTGTGATTTATGTTTTTTCGCCTTTTTTTCCCTCCCCTTTTTTTTTCATTCCGTGTCACTGGGTAAATGTTTTGTTTTTCCTGTGGTGGCCGCAGCTCGCAGCATCTGGAGAATACGGTAATTTTGGTACACATCTGCTGCACCCGGAAAAAAGGGTCAGTAACTGTTTCTGCTCTTCTAGCGCTGGGAATGAAGATGAACCAAACTCACTTAGGGAGGTCATTATTCCAGGACCAAACTGTCCACCCTGGAGCTAAGCTCTCTTTGGTATGCATCTCTGGCTCCAGCCAATAATCGCCATTTATTTGTGCACTACAGCAGACACTATAGAGCCATAGTGCGTCCATCTATAGGGGAGTTTGACGGTATGGTATTGTACGACGGAGGACATACCCGATTGTGGTCATCCTCGGCTCATCGCTGCTCGGTTTCTCATTCGCGACCAACTAACTGACTGCATCACCTGTGCCTTCCTTTCCTTAAATCCTGCGGCGCAACGCTCCGTTCAATCGGCGAGTCAGATTGCACCCGTGATTGAGCAATCAAAGAGCAGAAAATGTATTGCCAACCGATCCCATTACATCCGACGCTGACGAGTGCGCACAATGACAGAGTTCACCCTAGGATAAGGACTGTCTAGGGTTAAACCTTCCGCGTCCAGCCGAATCAAAAGGGGGCAGCGATGAGAAAAAGAGGCACCCAGTCAAAGAGTCGCAAGAGGTACTAAGGACGAATCAGTACTAGAGAAAGCTCCGGAGACCGTAGAATACCAGTCGCCTTCAAGGACCTCAGACGGTCCAGCCTTAATGAGCTCCACTTGGACTCCGCCTCTAGTGATCGTTAGACGGGCGCTAGCAGGGATGACCAGGGGTTGGGCCGCGTTTTTCTCTTGCCCTCCGGGCTGCAAACTCCCCAATCGTGGATGGAATGGGTGACGCTGGGTGCTGCCGCCAGTGCTGCTAGATAGAGCCTAGAGATGGCACTGGCAGTTGTCCCTCACAAGGCCCCATGATTCATGATCCATGATCCATGATCCATGGTCCATCCCACTCCCACCACCCGTCCCACGCAGGGTCCCGGATGGTCGAGCTCCCAGGAGGGGACTCAAGGATCGAACGATCTCACGAGTTTGACAGGTTGATTGTGATTGAGGGGAGCGGCATTCATTTCTCGCGTGGCAGCTCGGGTCCATCAACGACTATGCCCCTACTCAAACTGGCCGATGAGTGTGTGTGGGACGTGCATTACCTCATCGCCTTATGAAATCCCCAAGGAGACGGGGGGGGGAAATAAACACTGATGGGCCACGCTAAACATAAGAGTTCAATATGTGTTTCCTTGCTGATCTATAAGTATGAATTGGCCGGTGGACAAGTCAGAATTCTGCCTACCGGTTTTTTTGGGTGGCATCCAACTCAGAGGGACCCTTCAACGTTGGCAGACAACAAAGTAGCCTATGAGTCAGGCCCACAGACTAAGCGGGAATGGAGGGGGATGGACTTTGTGCGCGGTTGCAGTTCATGCAGGTAGTGGTTTCTATCTGGATCCGTGGGTGGTAGTGTCTCATTCTCCATCTTCAAAGCAACAAACAGTGGCTGGATGGACATGTATTGTGTTTGGCTATGGAGCACCCAGGGTGGCTGACCGCCACCATGGCACCGCTGTCCGTAACATCTGATCTTCCATCCCACCCGGACGCTTAGGTTACTGTTATTCGGGGAATAACTCATGGAAGTGGCTTGCATCTGTGCCCCATCAGGACTTCTGGAGTAAGGCAGGGCGGCGGGTTTCCCCTCTTGAGCATTGCGTGTCTCTACCGGTCAATTGCTATGAGTTCAATGGAAGGAACAAAAAAGACGCAAGAGCTGTTGCTTCATGGCGGCCAACCGTTGTACAGTACAGACGCGATCAGTTGATGCTTCATCTCCGGTCACTCGGCGAAGCACAAGACGCAATTTCCGCGGGGAGAGCTATTTTCTTTGTGATGGAACAACTAAAGTGCAGTTGGAACTTTGAAGATGAATCCACATTGACGGAGGCGCAGTGCCCTGAGAGGCTGATTTCTTTACTAGGTAGACTGTTAGATCTCCAGGCAATCAGTTTGACGTCGTTACCCCATGCTAGCATACTCCTCAGGACTCGTAGTATGTTGCAATAAATATCCCCCTCAAAGCAATAATCATGTATGGAACAAATGTTTCAATGTATGCCTGGAGAGGTGGCGTCTGATCCATGGCTACAGTAGGCAAAACACATATTACCGCATTGGGAGATTGAGCATCGCGAGATCCACCCCCAATGCACCCATCACAGTTGATACTTCAAAGAGCCCCAGCGCAGCTGCACGCAGATCAGCTGGATGGATTCTAATCTGCGATCAAAGGCTGACGCCAATGAAGTATGCAGCTGAAAGAGTGATGCTTCGATGCACAGTTCTTAGGCTTCACATATTGAATTCATCGTACATGAGGCGATGTTGATCAGCTGTAGCTAAAAGCTGCGAGATCAGATCCGGTCGTCCGGTTCAAAGTACGATTGAGCTATCCTCAGCTGTTCCGGGTCTGGATCGTTTACGATGAGTTACTACAGTTACGGGCTGATCCTGACCTGTCTCCTGCCTCGCGACTTTTTCGCCACCCAGGTCACGGAACCCATTCTTGAGAATGATAGTCTAGTTGACGGTATGGGTACTACGAGGTAGTTAGTTTCAGTCCGAAGCTTTCGTCTAATCCTGACCGTGGGGTGACACAACTCGTTAGGGTAGTTTAGCAGGCGTGATGCTGCCAACCTCACGACCGACCAAGCAATTGTTGCCGCTAGTCGCGTTTGCTCGGCTAACTGCGAACCTCGAACATCCTGATGCGACCATACCGTGCAAACAGGGTCAGTCATTAAACATGAAAGTACGTAGGCTACGACGCTTCGCTTGGCAACATGAGGGATCAGTGAGCCAGCAGCTGTCATAATGGCTGATGGGACGGGTTGTGGGAACAATTCCGATTCAAGCGAACATCCACCTCGTCCTCAACCCAGATTGAGATGAAGTTGGCGGAAATCCGATGTGCTCCGTAGACCATACGGTGAGTGATTATGATTCCAGTATGGATTCGCTAACTACCTACTAGTTAGTTAATTTAGAGTAGGTTGACTAACCGTTCAACGTATGCGGATGGCGCCAGAGGAAGGAAGGAAGAGAGGAACGGAGTCGACGGTCCTTCACAGTAGTCACCGCCTCTACCTTCACCTTGCCCATCTTCTCTGCCCCGAAGCTATGCCAGTCACCGTCTTTTTGCTTCTCCTCTTCCCCCAATTCTTTTCTTTTCTTTACCGTTCTTTTGACCCTCTTTCTCACGCCATTCTTTTTCCTATCAAAGAATAAAGTGGCGGGGGAGGGGCAAGACGCGTGGAGGGGCTGTCTGCGAACAATCTGGAGTGCATACTACTGGATCCTGTCAAGTTGATGTTTGATACTCCGCCTGTCCTAAGTACTAACTCGACTACTAGACTACAATCGTCTCTCTGTTTTCCTCTGGCGGTGTTTGTCTTGTTTAGGGAGCCATGTCCGCTACTCCGAAACAATCTGAACGGCACTACGTAGGGTACTATAGTCTAGTTTAGTTACTCCGAGCTTTGTTGTTTCCCCCTTACTAATATCCGTGGTCCCTTGGCGTCCAGCTTTCAGGAGGGTTGAGTTATTGGCAATCATTCGAAGCACTATGCAACTAAACCAGCAGCCAAACACCCGGCGTGATTACTCAGTCGAAAAAGGGTTGGAAGTCAACCATGAACAAACTTGAATAAGATTTCTGGGAAAGCTTCGGGCACCAGCGCAGAAAGGGAAGAGTGGATTGACTGGTCCGGAGCACTAGACGACGGGACGCAGACAGACCTGACTTGACTCCTCTTCCTCGATTATTCATGGAACATGGACGGACCATGGACCATGACTCCATGAGGCCATTCCTGTTCCAAACACCACCTTACCTGGACTCCTGCCAGTCTCCTGGACTCCTAAGAGGGGGGTGGAGTCCCAATGCGAGAATGATTCGTGTGAGGGAGGAGACAGTGGATGCTGGTGGAGTCAATATGGCGGCCTCTGTTTGCACCGGGGCGTTCGGGGAATGCGGATCCCCACTCGGTGTAGTTTCCGTCTCCGCTTCCCGACTCGCCCGGCTGACCAGTGGTGGTCGTCGGAGTGGAACTCTTTCTGTCTCGTCGCAACATCTCCCATCTCCACGCTGGCGACTCTGCCTTTTCTTTCACCGTCTTCTCCATCCTTAGCATCTCTAGCATCCTTAGCATCCTACACTGCTTCAGCCCCGCCTATCCTAAGCTGCTATCACTTCTCTTAGCTACCTTAGTTATTATACCAAGGACTACTACGGTATAGCTTTCGAAGCCGTCGCATTCCACGAGAGTTCTAGAAGGATCAAGGCAGCTGCGTGGAAGCGGAGTGGAAGGATCTACAGGGGACAGAAAATCGCTCAATCCTCAATCCCTCTCGTAGGGCAAAAAAGCAGAATAGACGGACCAAAAAAGGATACTTTCGATCACCTAGCAGTGCTCGTATCTGGCCTGCATTCCCAGTGACCGTTGGCCCGGATGAACTGCGGCAGCCATTTCCACGCCGCATCATGGAGGATCAACCGAACATCGCCTGCGCAAGACACGGCTAAACATGTTTCTGGAACGCCACTAGGGATTTCCACCAGGAGAACTAACTTACCTAGTCTATCATAGTAGTCCTCTATCCTGCATTTGAGAAACCTTCGCCACAAGCACAATAACCAAAAGTACGACTGTCCGGAAAGGGTCTCTTCTCGTATGGACAACAGCCAGCGCTATTCCTCCCCTTTAGCTGCAACGCTGTGTGTTTCGCTAACGGACTAGGTGCTTATGAGTCTGTGTTTGTAGGAATCGGCTAGGTTGGTACGGATTAGAGCAGGTTCAGGGGCTATTTGGATCAGTCATCCAAGGCAAGAGGCCCTTCTTTGTCATTAGCCAAGCGAGATGAGAGCTGGCGTCCCTGAATGCTGGGATGAAACATGATTGCTGGATGAGCGGCTGTGCTTTGCAGTAGGGACCAGGGTGCCTGCAGTCCTCCCGCGATGCTGCACGCCAGATCGGCCCTGATCCCGTCCATCGTCGTTTGCCTCCGACATCATATTGACGGACAGCGCCCCCCTGGTACCTGGGGCCTCTTACCCCCTTCCGGAACTGATGTGCCATAGCAACTGTAGGTATAGCTATCTACCTGCCACCCCAGGGCAGATGTCATTCCGCTCTTGACGTGTATCATCTTCACCTTCTGCATGCCTAACTCTTACATCATTACCCTTATATCTTTCTTTTGTTATATGTAACACAGTCCGAGCTTTCCGCCGGTGTTGACATGACAATTGTGTCATACCGGCCTGTTTGGCTCTCTGGGATTCTTGCAAACGGCTACGGGATGGCTGGGAGCATTCCGGGAGGACTATCCTTTGCCTTTGGGTCTGTTGTTGACAGTTTCAGAAGTAAACTGTGAGCACTTTCAAAGCTCCTTGTGCTGTGTGTCCTGAGCTATAGACGGTTCTGTGTCACTGAAGCAGTATGTACTGTATTGAGGCTGCAAGGCATGAGCATTGACAAACGACAACACCATGCAATAGCATCGTGATGGCAGCATGTTTGTTGTCTTGCTTTTGGAAATGTACTATGCATGTATAATCTATGTCAGTAGCACAGACTGTCTTGCTTTTCCTGGGCCAAACAGCATCAGTTTCGTTCTTGATATGGGCTTCGGCGTGTGGTTGTAGTTATATACAACAAACTTCAATCTTTCACCTGACTAACACCTTCCTAAAACAGAAATGTATAGACTGAGTCTCGCTCCTTGACAACTCATCGACAGTACTCTGGCCCTTGATCACAACTGTCTTTCTCAAGACAATCTGCTGGGCGCGTACTCCTGGTGATGGCAGAGAGCGACTGGATATATTCACTGTGTGGTTCTGGCCCCGTGGGGATATAACACAACCAGTCACCTTGACGACGGTTCCATTCACTCGACATCACTGAGGCCTGGCCAACACCACCGCAACTTCAGTGCGCTCTCTCTCCTCTCTGATTCTTTCGCTTTTCACCGCCTTTCAGCATTTCGTGGTTGTCTCTGAAGCCATAAACTACACAGCACGTGACATCACGAAGACCTACCGCAACCATGAGTCTGACCAGAAAGGCTCCTAGTGCCTACGGAGGCGGCTACAGTGACGCTCTCAGAGAGCGGTTTGTCTTCCTAATGACTAAATACTCCGTTGATATACCATTCTAACTCTTGCGACTCTGATATAGGATCAACAACACCATCATCCCGGAGAAGTTAGGATTACACCCCTCTGATATATCCGATATAGACCCTGTGACTGACAAGATCACAGAGTCAAATGTGCCAGCTGCAAGAAGTACCGTACTGTGGCCTCTTACTCCAAGCGCCAGCAGGAAATCATTCGCCATGCCATCGTGCTTCAGGGCAAGCGAGCCGCTGACGGTGGATGCGAGGCCCGCTGCCGCCAATGTATTGGTGGATGCATCGTCGAGCTTAAATGTTCCATCTGCGACAAGACCAAGACTCTGGAGCATTTTGCGAAGAACCAGCGTGGAGATCGTGACACCGCGGTAAGTTCTTGCACATCTATCCAGTTCGAGGCAACAAGACGTCGTCTGACTGTAATTGCCAAACACAGAGATGCCTGAACTGTGTTCAGAACGCCCTGGAGGTGGACCCGATGCCAGAAAGACAGCGGCAGTTCTCAGGCAACCTTACGGCTACGGCCAGCGGCACTTCAACCGTGAGTATCGAGTTGTTCCATACACGGGCTCTAGAATGCGTTTTGTAGTTGACTGAAGCACAGAGCCAGGGTGGAGTTACTGCTTTGACCCAATCCGCCCAGAAAATGAACATCGCTGACAACCGCTCCTTCGATGACGGTGCCGATGACGAGAATGCTGGCGGCGAGGACGGGGCCCGCAAGAACGAGGGCGCTCTGGTCACCACCAAGAACGATCGCGAGTACGCGGGACACGGCCCTGATGGCCAGGTGTTTCAGGTTGCCACTCCGGACAAGAAAGTTCCGGAGACTCGTTATAAAGATTATTTCAACAACGAGCCTGAGAAACTCCAGCCCGACAAACCCGACGGCAAATGGGCCAAGATCCCTGTACGTTGCAGGATGGATCAAACGATGAAAGAAACTGCCGATGCTAACTAATTGTGTACAGGGCAGACGCATTCCTAAGGGCAAGGAGCCTTCCATGCGTGTTCCTGAGCCTAACGACGATTTTGTTCCCTCGGACGAGGATGAAGACGAAGAAGATCTCGAGAACTGGCTGTAAGCGGGCCAAGCGCCGGTACACAGGTGTACTCCAGGTACAACCGAGTATACATGTACAGACTCAGGGGAAAGCTTCTTGATCGTTCTACTAAGTCTTTCTGCTAACGTCTTTCTATCTCTTTCGTTCTCCGTTTACATGTTGCCTCTGCCTCTTGTTTATTTTTTTTTCAGCAGCTGATATGCGTGATGGGAGATTGGTGGTGGATGAGCTTCTTTTGCCGTGGCTTTTTGTATCTTCTGACCTTGCAACAATGGAGAAATGACTTTTGACATTTCCAACTCGATTCGCATGGTTTACTTCTTAGATTTTTAGATGTTGAAGGGTCCTTGGAACCTACCTGGGGCTACCCAGGGACTAAGGCGGCCCGTTGCCCGCCAGCGTACCATGGTTGTCACCAACCTGGCTCACAAGGCGTCGAGGGCCAAAGCTCGAGAACACCCCCTGGTGAGTACGTCAGCATTCCTGGATTTCCATGTACTTCGAGGTATAGATCCTGACTGGCATTGGCCCATTAAGTACAACCCAGACGCACGACCTCCCCGAATTGCATTGCATCGAAATGTCTCCAGCCACTGAGGCGATTGATGAACATGGAGGATATCCAAATATGGTGGGAAGATGAAGTGGCATGGTGTGCGACCCTCGAATCCGGGGGGTTTTGGACCAGGGGAGGGAGGAGTCACTCGCATACTTACCTGCTGCTGCTGCTTGCTGTTTGTTTGGAGGGGGAGGAGACGGTGCAGTGTTTTAGCACGATGATTATTTTTCTGCTTTCCCCGCATATCCGCCGACTCTACATGACGTATGGCAGAGTATGAGGATTCTTATCTTTCCCTTCTTCTTCGCTGCTGCTGCTGCTGCTGCTGCTGCTGTTTCCTTCATCTTCTGACATTTTACTTCGGACTACAGAATTCATTTTTCCGAGCGCTCCACCAGGGTTGCCCTGCTTGCATTATTTTTGGCAGTCAGTTCTCCCCGTGACTTTTGCCCAACTGGCAAGTAAATTATTCGCTAGACGGTTTGTTTCAAGATCCGCCGCCCGTTTTGCCTGCCTGCCTGCCTGTCGCCCGCCCGCCGCCCCTCCCCTCCACCCTCCCTCTTCTACTCTCTCACTCTCACGCAACCCACTGTCTCTCACTCTCTCTTGGTTTCTCTTACTCTCTCCCGATCACTCCGAGGCCTTTCTTTCTTTGATTCTACCCCATTCTTTGCTCCTCTCACGGAATACACCAGAAAGAAAATTAATCGCCTCGCCACACCAGCGTTGCATTCCACTTTTCCATTCCTTCTTTTGCCGTTATTCTACCTGAAGCCCCTCCCCGCTTCTTTGCTTGCGGTCCCAGCGTTTCATCCCAGTACAATAGCTTCGATGATCATCCTGTGCCGGTGCTAGAGCGCAGGGCAACAATCTTTTGACTTTGCCTTCTCACCTACTACCCCGATCCGATGGCGTACAACGGCTTCCCTAATAATGGCGGCTCATATCCCCAATATCCACACCCAAACCATTTGAATGCCAACGAGAACCGCGCATCCGCATACACTCCTCCATACCCAGCGCAATACCCGGCGCAATATGGTACTGACCAGCCGAATATCCCTCAGCCCCAGGTGCCTCCCCGACCCTCCTCGCCGGGCAACTATTACAACAAACCGCCATATGACCCCAATGCTTGGCAGCAGCCCCAGCAACAACCCCAGCAACAACCGCCTGCCGGAAGAATTAATGAGGCTGTCAACTCGGCCTTCCGCCAGGCTGATACACCGGCATATTTGTCTCCGGATGTGGTGTCGCAGATCACGGCGACGGTCATACAACAGCTGAAAGCAACGGGCTTGGACGGTTTGCACGGCGATCAACAGCACCCGTCAGTGTCGTCGCCGCAATGGGCTCCTCCTCCCCCGCAATCCGTTACCCCCGCCTATGGAGAATCGACTTATCCCACCACGGTTCCCCAAGCTGCTCCTCCACCGCCTCCGCCCAAGGTCGGCTCCGATACTAGTGACTATCCGACGCCCGTGCCGCCCACAGGGCGCCCAGCCAGTCCCCATCTCTACCCGGGCCCATCGTCTGGACCTTCGACCGACCGCCGCGGCTCACCTGCGAGTCAATTCAGTGATCATAGCCATAGCGTGGAATCTTCTCGACCAAAGGCACCATCGCGAGAGGTTACAGTGACGGAGATGACAACGTTGGAGAAGATTTGGGGCAAACTGTTTGAGAAGGGCAAGCCAACGGAGAGGCTGGGCCAGCTTCTACGTGGAGTCGCGGTTCATCTGGTGAGTACATTCGCTGAACGAATATCCAGGGCATGTGAGGCTAACTGGTCAAACAACAATAGATCGAGGACTATCCACCCGGCAACACCCTGGTTGTTACTCCTGAGAAACTGCAGAAGTTCTACGAGGATACCAATATACCGTCTGATCCTTATCCCTGGCAAGGTTAGTAGAGTTGTGTTACCGATTCTGAGCTGCGCTGACTCAGTCACAGACATCTTCGATGACCGTACCTCTTCCATTTCAAGGCTGTTCCGCGAAGTGGAGGCGGAACACCACCTCGTGCAAAACAAGCTGAACGAGAGACCGGATATTCCGGGCTTGACCCCGCGGGGATTCGAGCGATGGGCTACTCTAATGATTCAGGCCCACCCCGAGAAGGAGTATGAGCGCTTCCAGAATGCCGTTTTGAATATGCCTATCAACAATCCCGACAATCGAAGAGAGCGCTTCCCAAAGGAAATTCCACGACGACTGTTCCCTGACATTCCTAACTTGTCGCTAAGGGAAGAAGTTGACCAGTTCATCATGCGACACTGCGGCGTCGATCTGCCTCCGATTTCTGAAGAGGAATTGAAACAGGTTGCGGAACAACGTCACAAGAAGGCTGCACACAAGGCTTCAGTGAGCTCAGTGGATTCTACTGCGTCGCTGAGTGAGCGCGAGCGTCAGCCATACCATACCACATCAGCAACCGCCTCAACGGCTGCTGTAGTCGACGATGAAGAGGACAAGGAGGTACCTTCGCGACCAATCGAGCGCCAAAGAAAGCCATACACAGCACACGTCGGCGGCGGAAAGGTCTACGACGAAGGAGGCTCTGGCCCGCACCGTCATGCGGGCTCCACCACAAGCTCTGGCCCACGAGACAGTCCCACCTTGTCTGCCACCCGCGTGCCAGACACCTATAGCCAGGACGCTCCTCATTACCGCGTGGGGACTCCCTCGTCACAGCGCCCGGCAACTGCATTCGCCCGGCCGCGCAGCCCGCGAGGTGGCAACGGTGGTACCGACTATCGTCATTCGGAGAGTGATCTCTTGGCCCACAGCGGAAACAGCAGATATCCCGATGGGGAGTATTACTACCGATCGAACAACCCCGCGCATCCGGGAGACATCATCGAGGACCGTCGCCGGTACAAGGACCTTGACCCGGAGACCGAGGATCAGAGACTCTACGAAGCAATCCGGGAGCGAGACAAGGAGAAGAAGCGGAGCAGCTGGGGTGCAGACGAGGACTATTATGGCAGCAACCCGATCAGCGGCACCGGCAGCACCGGGTACGATTACAAGACATATGGGTACCGGTGAATTTGAAATTTTATGCTTTGTTGCGCCTAGTTTTGGTCTGTCTGCTTTGGAAAAGATATCCATTGTGCGTGCGCTGTGTTTTCTGTTTCGATAGCGCTGTGGTTTTTGATGCTTGTTACGACATGATGATAACGTTTACGAGTGACCCTTTGCTTCTGGGAGGGATTGTATCACATTCTTAGCCACGTGTCAGTCATTTTAGGCATATTGTATCAATAACATTCGTTGATTCTAGGCAGGGTATCAAGTTTATATATACATGGCTCACCTAAAGACACTGTGTAAATCTATATACATAAGATGAAAAAAAGTCAATCCTACTCTCCCCACCCCCGTTTCCTGGATCCATCCCCATCCCCATCGTCGCCCGCGGCCCTCTTCAGCCTCCTCCCCCTCAGCACCCGCATCAACTCCACCCCAGCCCCGCGCACCACAGCCGCCTCCCTCTCCCTCATCCCCTCCTCCACCTCCCACCTCTCCCAGATCTTCCGGGCGTCACGCTCCTCCCTCTCCTCCCTCCTCCTCGCCCGCCTCCTCCCCCTGGCCACCTCCGCCTCCCCCCTCTCCTCCTCCGCAACCATCTCGCGCCGCAACCGCGCCACCTCCTCCTCCCCGAGCACCCACGGCGCACCAAGCACCTCCACCCGCACCCGGTTGCGCTGATTCAGAAACCGCATCTCCGCGTCCACGCCGCCGAGCACACTGCACCGCTCGAGCTGCAGCTGGACCGTTCTTCTGTAGCTGGACGGGGTGCCTTTCAGGTGCGCGAGGGCGCCCGGAACGAGGGATTCGATATCCAGCGGGTGGGATGTTGTAGGGGCGATGTGCCGCTGCGCTGGCTGCTCGGGCTGGGTGGTTGCGCGGACTGCGGATGGGACTGCGGGTGCGGGTGCGGGTGCTGCTGCTGCTGCTGCTGCTGGAGCTACGGGCTCTGCGCCGGGATCGGCCTTCTGGACGACGACGTCGAGGACGGCGCCGCTGCTGTCGTCGAGGGTGAGCACGGTCACGCGCGGGTACTCGGTGCGGGCGGTGATGAGGCCTGCGACGGCGATGAAGCGGATGGGGTGGTTCTTGTGGAAGAATATTCCCTCTTTTCCCATCCCCATCATATTAGTATTAGCATTGGAACGTGTGTTGATTAGGTGGTTGGGGTTGGGTACCTGGATACTCGGGCCGGCGGTGCAGCTGGCGCACGTCGGCGACGGCCATCTTTACCCAGGTGAAGTGGGTTGGCGAGGCTCGGAAGCAGTAGGCTGGGTAGAATTCGGGGGCGTCGGGTTCGGGGGGCGCCATGGGGCCATTTTTGGGTTGTTTCAGGGTGTTCAGGTTTGTGGTTGAGAAGATGGGAATGGGAGGGGTGCCTTGTACGTGTACGTGGGCTGGGATGTTTGGGGATTGGTGATCACGTGGTGATAACGGTTGTTCTTTATCTTTATATGGATATTGTAGGGGGGGGGGGGTACGGGGGTCTCCCCGAATTTCTCATGGGGATCAGGACTGAGTGTTACTGGGGAGCTGAAAGAAAGGGGGGTCCGGGGGTTCTCCCCCGGGAATCTCTATTAAGGGAATCAGGGCCGAGTGTTATCAAGATACTAAGTAGTAAGTAGTAAGTCGGTAGTCCAATTACTCCTCCTTCTCTCCCTCCGCCCCCCCCTCCCCAATCGTCCACCGATTCAACACCCCGACGCCGGCATTCAAGTAGGTCGCGAACCCCAGCCACGCCGCATAGGGCACGAGCATCCAGAACGCGGGGCGGTCGTGCTGGTACCACGAGTGCATCAGGGCGGCGACGTTGCCGCCCAGCAGCAGCATATCGGCCAGCGCCCAAGCGGGCTTCCGCAGCCCGAAGAACAGCGGCATCCACAAGTAGTTGAGCAGCAGCTGCGAGGCGTAGAGGCCCTGCGAGTGGACCGTCCATTCCTGGAGGGAGGCGGAGGCCAGCGGCGAGACGGTGGTGCCGGTGACGGTGGCGTGGTGCGCGGCGAAGCCCATCAGGCCGTAGAGGACGGTCCAGACGGGGCCGAAGAGCCAGGCGGGTGGGTAGAGCGGGGGTTTTTGGAGGTTGCGGTAGACGGACTTGGTGCGGGATTGTTCTGTTTGTATGTTAGGGATAGATTTTGAGGTAGAGTTCGGTTGCTTGGTTGGAGGTGGGGGAGGTGGGTTGATGCGGTGAGGGCTTACTGTTGGTCTGGAAGCCGATGAATGTGCCGGCGGCGATGGGGGCGGCGACGGAGAGGAGCGGGGAGGTGAAGACTGCCTGCGGCAGGACAATTGACCACGGCATCTTGTCGGGTCGGGTTGTGGTGTTGGAAAGATGCTGTAGAATATTGTTCTCAAAGGGAGGGGGGGAGCTGGACGGTGTTCTGGGCCAGGTGGTGAGTTATTTAAAGGAATCATGAGTGGATGTTGGCTGGATCGATCGGGGAATGCATGGTCGTTAACGACGTCATGTCGCTGGGCGATCTGGGGATGGTTCGTTCCTCTCTGTCGCCCTCCGCGTTCTCCACGTGTGATGCTAATGCTGCCACGTCGCCTGTTAGTCGTCAGTACTCTGACCCGGGAAAGCCGAGAAGAGAGTGAAGTACTATTATGGAATCATGTGGCTTATTCTTGTTGTGAGAGTGGTGTGCACCAAGTCCGGGTTCTAGTTCACACATTGTATTGCGATTGTTGTCCGCGCTGCATGCTACTACGTAGATACCACTTGTATTTCATCCTAGACCAAAAATGGGCGCTAGACTTGCTTCATGAATATCTCGTAAAAGATGATCCGCCACACCTGACACTGTCATGTTAGACCTTTTACACCTTGGCTTGCTTGCGATGCCATCACCACATCTGCTGGTCCTTCTGCCACTTCCCAATGGTTCCACGACTTGTTGAGCTTTTGTTGACTCACATACATTACCATCTTGCACATATCCCATCACACCACGCATGGCCCAAACAAGCTTTCCACCCACCGATCAACAATAGCATTGATGATCATTTTCCATGAGCAGCCGGCCCGCTGTCAAGAGACAGCGTCCTGACGATCCTTACTCCATCCATTCTGAACTATACGGCGTCCTTGCATGATATCCAGCGAGAAAGCAATATTATACACCGGTAGTCGCATTGCAGCGCAATAGCCTGGCAGGGAAACCATTCGCACATAAACGAGCATGATCGCTCGAACATCCACAGGCGCCTCCTGAAGTTTTGCAAGGAGACTGCTCGATTTAACCCCATGCGCGAATAATTCGCAGTAACATACCTCGAATCCTGCATCTTAACAAGTTCCACCGCGCTTAAGACCACGCAAGCCAAGATGAAGGGTCTTGTATATTTCCTCATGTCAATCCCGCTCGTCGCGGCTACACTGGTGAGTGGGAGCGATCCCTGCATTTCAACACGACACAGTGCAATGGAGAATGCTAAGAAATCCAAAGCATAACCACGCCCCAGCTCATCATCACAGAGCGGGAGATGTCTCCTGGCGAGAGAATGAGGAAGCTCCCATCGACAACGCAGCATCAACGGAGCTGCTAGCTCTGCTTGCCCGATTCCAAGAGATATGCTTGACGGAAGCGAACGACGAGTGTTTCAACGGATGCATCGCTACCAACCTCGGTCTTCTCGGGGATGGGGGGTTCGATTACGAGATGTGGGAGTTGATGATCCTCACCACGGTTGCAAGTGACGAGACCCGAGCAGGGGCCACTAAATTGGGCAGGGAAGCGGAAATCGTGCTGGCCGGCATAGAGACGTGCCAGGCTGGAGACTGGCTGGTGCAGATCATGGCCCGGCTATAAGCTTTTTCCGGGGATTTAGCATGGTTAGCCCGTGGACAGTGTCTGGTCCAGAAACAAGAGGCTACCGTCGGACAGGACGAGGGATCTTCCTCCGTGTGTTATTGCATTACCTAAAGCCAAGGTGCTACACCCACTATCAGCTGTGCGAGCAGGGATGGACGCGCTTGATGCCTGGTCAGGGATCTATAGCAGTTCTTATAGGGCTGCACACACATCGTGTCACTCTTAGTGAAGGGTCGGATGCAATAGTCTGTGGGGAGAGCCAGTCATCTTCTGGACCCTGAGGATGGCGCCCCACTTTGTCTCAGAGCATGAACTAAAGTTGAGAAAGCAATGCGAGCAAGCGAGCCATATCCTACGGCAAGTTGGGTGTCATGGCCACGATCTCCAGGGAACTTCTAGACGAGTGGCGTGGGGAAACTCGGTTTCCTATTCATTGTTTGGAGAATGGCAAGATAACAGGCCTGGAGATGTCTGGCATGACTAAATCTGCCTCGACAGACATGTATAAAGACCTCGCATTGCCCGGCCTGAGCAGATGATCACAGTGGATCTGCCAAGTCAGTGTAGTGGGTGTGATTCCAGACTAAACACCCTTGGGCCTCTTGAACACACTCTCATGAGCATTGATCCCATCACTCGCTGGTAACAGTTGGACTCGGTCGCCTGTCTCTTTCATTGAAGGCAATGGTAGCTGACACTTGCTGTCTGTCTAGTAAATGATACCCACTCGTATCAAACAATAATACCCAAAGATAATTCTGGTGCGGTGCTAAACCTGTGGAGAAAAGCAATCATACATCCTGGTCATCCTATGCAAGTCTACATGAATTACAGCCTAGGCAGACAGGCAGAACTAGTCTCATTACTTGACATGGGTGCCTACCGTGTTTCCTTTCATCTCTCTTCTTTGTCAACATCAGGCCGCACCCTGGCCGCTCACCAACCATGCAGATCCTCCAACCTACCCTGAAGTCCCTGTCACTTCGAAAACTCCGACGATCCAACGCCATCAAAGTCCTCCTGGCCAGCGCACTTCTCTGGTCGATTGCCTACACCTACTGTCGAACTCGGTTCTGGCGAGATCCTCATTCGGCCTTCTTCAATGACCGCCATGTCTACGAATGGAGATACAGTCTCTACCGGGAACACGAGGCCCGGCGCCTGATCACCAACCACAACACCCTTGCAGAGAACTTCACCTCCTACACGGGAGCAGGATCGAACCCGTTGGTCTGCGCAGCTTTCCTGATCGTGAGGCGCGAGGAGGAGAATTACCTCGAAGCCTCGGTGGGGTCTCTGCTCGAGGGATTGACTCCGCCGGAGCGCCGTGCTCTCTTCCTCAACATCATCTTCGTAGACACGGATCCCAGCCAGCATCCGAGCTGGGGACAGAACTGGATGCATCGATTAGCGGATCACGTTGGATCATACCAGAACATCTCCCTGGAACAGTTTCACCACCTGCAGGAATTGGAAAAGGCGCGGAACTTCTATGAGAAGGGAATGTTGTGAGTAATCTTGCCAAGTGAGCTGCGACTGGGAGCATGTCGACGAGCAAACCTCTGACAACTTGTTTCCATTCTCAGTGACTATATCCACGCGCTCGCGGCCTGCATGGCCACTAATACAACATATCTCGCGATGTTCGAAGACGACATCATCGTAGCAGACGGCTGGATGGCTAAGACCCTCAAGGGCCTGTCGGAGATCGCTCAAATCCAGGAGCTCGAACACAACAATCAAAACAAACCGTGGGTCTACCTCCGGCTCTTCTTCACGGAGACCGCGCTGAGCTGGACGTCGGCGGACTTTGCCTACCGCAACATAGGCTGGATTTTCATCCGGGCATCGTTGTCACTGCTCGCCGCGCTCATGGCCGTCCGCCGCTCCTGCCCGTCCAGTCACGCCTACCTCGATTACCCGACCATCGGCGCGATCTCCTTCGTCAGCCTCCCGGCTCTGATTGGACTGGTCTACATGGTCGGCAAATACAGTCTGATGCCCCTGAGCGGCGTGGTGGAGATGAACGCCCACGGCTGCTGTACCCAGGGGTTGGTTTTTCCTCGTGACCAGGTCGACGCGTTGATCGTTCATTTGAGCAAGGTGAGGGCCGGGCAGACGGACTCGATCATCGAGGAGTATGCAGATGCACATGGTCTGACCCGGTATGCTCTCGCGCCGCAGCAGCTGCAGCATGTGGGTCTGAAGTCGAGTCGGGATAACCTCGAGATCAACACGCGGAGCACGTGGGCGTTCTGGTTTGAGAAGAACACGCCTGCGGATCTGAGGAAAGAGCATGAGGATCTGCTACGTGATATTGATGTTAGACGGCTCTTGGATGGACATAGCTGATGGTGTGGAAGGACTACTGGCTGTAGTGTAGATATCACCGCGCTGAAGATAGCCCTAGTCTTGGCTCTTTGCTGTACCGCCTAAGTCGTCAATTTACTTTTTTAAAGTCAAGTCCTTACTGAAAGAGCTTGTCAACCTTGCAGTTACAGTATTATCCTTCAGGATCAAAGTAGTCCTTTGAGGAGATCTACATGAGAAATGACAGGCCGCTGACAGAACCATATTATCGCTCTCCATCCTCTAGAAGGCTAACTATTGCCTGCTTGAACCATACCAGAGACCGAGCCCCATCCATCCTCACCAGCACTCTTGCACAAGACAACCATCGTTGCAATCTACATATATACACGTTATCATCAATTCATCTACAGTACCCTCCCAAAACCACCAGCAACCCAATCACCCCATCAACTCCCCCTCCATAACCCTCTTCTTCGGATTCCTGGGCACCTGCGCCTGCCTCCTCCGCTCCTCCGCACTGATATCATCAATGTTCGTCTCGACCGTCTCCATCGCCGCCCGCACCTCCGCCTCGCGATTCTCATGCCCCGCCGTCGCCACCGTCAAGATCTCCCTCTCCAGCCCCTGCACCACCTCCCACTCAATCCCCGCCGCCGTCAGCTGCCTGCACCCCTCGGACTGGCCCACAAACGTCCCGGGCTCCTTCACCCCAAAGTACACCTTCTGGATGCCGCGCCCGTTTCCCTCTGCTCCAGCGGGATCCGCGCCCCGCGTCTGGATAATCCGCTGCACGCACGGCGCATTCCCCGACAGCCGGCGCCCGCACGGCTCCATCGTCACATACATGACCAGTTTCCGGCCGGGCTCGACCGGCAGCACCTCGGCCACGCGGTCGGCGGGGACGTTGTGGGTGGCCGCGTAGTTGGCGAGGCAGCACTGCTCGGCGTGCGTGTTGCCGTCGAGCTCCATCGTGTAGCCAGTGGCGAGGAGCTGGTCGTCTTTCTCGAGGGTGGTGTCGTCTTCGTGCCGCGAGAGGAGCAGCGCGCCCACCCGGAAGTTGGTGGGTCGCGCGGGCGATTTCTCGGCGAGTGCGAGGCAGGCGCGCATGTATTTGAGGTGCGGGGAGGGCATTTTCTTTGGGTGGGTGGTGGGTTGTGGTATCTATCTGGAGTGTGTGGGGTCGATGGTGGTAGTTGAAGTGTGAAGTGGTTGTTGGTGGTGTATGGTCTCTTTGGGCGGGTAGATGGATGGATTGAAGCTGAGCTCAAGCTAGCTAAGTTAACGTTCACTGAGCAGCTATGAAATGACCGCATCAGCGCGGGGGAAGCTCTAAACCTAAGGGAGGGGCCTTATCGATAAAAGGCGGTCAGATATGCTAAGAGGTTCTGCCACGACAGCCGGGACCTACCGCCTTCCGGATGATGACAGTTAATGGCTTCCAACCGGAGATTCGCGTCCGCGTGGCGCGTCTGACTGAATCGTTCTCTCACTTCACTTTTTCTTCTGGCGAGACATATTGACGTTCCTCGTTGTTTTTGCTCTGCTTCACCCTCGCAGCGATTTAAGCCAGGCTAGAAATTCTTCTAATGCCTCGCAAGAGCAAAGCTCAGGCGCCTCCGCCTAGAAGCGAGTCGCCCGAATCACTGCGCGATAGCGAGTCTCCTGAACCTCGTCGCGACAGCGAGTCTCCCGAGCCTCCCAGCCCAGAGACCGACCTGTACGAGATCCTAGGCGTCTCGAGCGATGCTCCCGCAGACCAGATCAAGTCGGCCTATCGGAAACAGGCGCTCAAGCACCATCCTGGTATGTTTGAAAAGTTCACATCCATAGACCGCAATCATGCCCGACCCTAACCGAACCTCTTTCCCACTGCCGCAGACAAGGTCCCAGCCGACGAGCGAGATGAAGCAAACAAGACGTTCCAGCAGATTGCTTTCGCCTACGCCATCCTCTCCGACGGGAAGCGCCGCGAGCGCTACGACCTGACCGGCAGCACCAGTGAGGCGGTCGACGTCGACGAGGATTTCAACTGGGCGGATTTCTACCGCGAGCAGTTCTCCAGCGCCATCGACACCAGCGCAATCGACAAGCTGAAGCACGAGTTTCAGGGCTCCGAGGAGGAGGCGCGCGACGTGCTGGCGGCGTATGAGACCTACCGGGGGGACTTGAATAAGGTCTACGAGTCGGTGCTGCTCTGCAATGTCCTGGATGACGATGAGCGCTTCCGGGCCATCATAGACCGCGCCATCGCGGAGGGCCGCGCGAAGAAGCACAAGAGCTACGTGGAGGAGCCGGCGAAGAAGCGCGAGCGGCGAGTGAAACGAGCCCAGAAGGAGGCCAAGGAGGCGGAGGCGTTGGCGGCGGAGGTCGAGGAGAAGCATTCGGTCAAGAAGAACGGCAAGGGCGGCAAGAAGACCTCGAAAAAGAACGATGGTGCCATGGGGGACAACGAGCTGTTGAAGATGATTCAGCAACGGCAGGCCACGCGGGCGGAGGCCTTCTTCGATCGATTGGAGCAGCAGTACGGCCAACCCGGTCGAAAGCGGGCGGCCAAGATGGACGAACCCCCGGAGGAGGCCTTTGCAGCTACTGCAGCGCGAAAGACAGCCAAGAAGAAGAGAAAAACAGATGCCTAGAGGAAGGGAGGGGTGGGGGGCATTGAGGAGCGGTCGGGTCTCTATTTTCTTGTCTGCATATTTAAAACGGTTTGGGGAGTTGGAAGATGCATCTATCGTCTGATGCACTGGCGAAAAATGGGCGTTGGGTCTGTCTTTTCTTTTTTATTGATCTGTCGAGCGACGAGCATGCATCATCCATTTCGGGGGGGGGGGGGGGGGGGGGGGGGGGGGGTGAGCAGCTATTTGCCCGTTGTGTTGTGTTGCGTTTTCTTTTAATTTTGCTTTTTTTTCTCTCTTTCGCTATCATGCATGTATTATTTCTTTTTCTTCGCCATTTGGAATGACACCGAATGTAACATACATCAGGGACGAAGGCTGTAGAGGTGTCGAAAATGGAAAAAGATTGACCCATGAGATGACACTGACGCTGCGACGACGATCGTTCGACCAACTCAGCGGGAGGGCGACGGGTCGATGGGCGGTGGTTGGAGGGGGATGGAATGTGATGAATGAATGAATGATTGACTGACTGATTGATGGGTTGGGTTTGGATCCCTGGTTCGAGCTCTGATCAAGTACAAATAAGCAGTTCGGTCGCCTGCATGCAATGCACATTCCAGGCTCGAGTTTCTCAAGAGGGCTGCGGTGACACTTTGCAACTCTTTCAAGAGGTAAGAATACTCAGTCTGTTCCGTAGTGTGCAGTAGTATGAGTTAAGTATTCGGTAGGTCTGGAGTAGTAGTTACGATGTACGGCACAGTCAGTCAAGCAGTCAAGCAGTCAAGCA